TATTTCATATGAGCTGTTCTTGACAGTCGAATTTTGTTCATACTTTGTATCCTCACAAAAGAAATCGAGCGAATAATGCTGTAGCGGTGAGAGAGGAGGTTATGAGGAATTATCATGCATCAATAACGGAAAGCCTTGGCATCAACAAGAGTTCCAGGGCCAAAAGGGTTATCATTTCCTCATGTTACCTGACTGCAGCACAGGGAATGAGAAGACTTGACCTTCGTGACCTTGGGCGGACCAATAAAATTTTGCCATTGGGCCATTGAAGTTATTAATAGTAATAAATCGTAAAATGCGATCCTTTTATCATTTTCGCCTAAAAACTAACTATACAATAATAAGTCACATGAGCCGATGCTGTAACAACCATCCCAATTTGATCTCATGCACCTCAGACATCTCGAAATAAAAGCCAAGTTCAATTTAACAACCCATAAGTCAGCTTACAGTCGATTCGGGTTTTTCCCATAATCGGCTTAAAGTAGTGAAACAGATTGGAGAGCGATGTAAAAAAGGGAGGAGAGAGAGCTGAAGTGAGCGCAAACATATTGACTGGGAGCGCGAGAGAATGAACTGGTCCATTTATTGCGAAACACTAAAGCATTTAAGACATCAGTATGAAATGTGGTTTATTCCTTATAAGTAGTTTAATCCTCTGTACTAAAAAGCGTTAAAATGACAAGTAAAATTAAAGAATGGAGTTTAGCGTTTGAAAATTTCTTGAAAAAAATGTTACAACGCCGAGGATGAAAGGAATCGAGGCTGTTGGATGTCCTGAAGGCCCGCCGACAATACGACCACTTGCGTTCTCGCAGTGGAAATTGGCTGTCATCAACCGATTTACAACAATAAAATGACCAAGGGTGGTGTCGAGGTGAGCAAAGGCATTGGGATGACTAGGTAATTGTTGACAATTTACACTTGCAAGCACAAATTTGTAATGTCGGTCGTTTCTATAACTTTTTGGCTTAGAAAGCGCACCATCTTGATTGGTGTGAAGACGGCAACAAAATGCGTTTCATTGCAACTTATGGGCATTTTCTGATTCATAGTTAATATGTTTTGCCCCTTCAACAGTGCTAACTGACCCGACAGATGTGATTGGAGTCGGCTCATGTTTGAGTTCACTGCTTTAAAGAGTTCTCGAAGGTCCAAACAAAAAAGGTTATTAGAAGATTGGAGTCCTAAAGAAGACGTTTCATCATTTTAGCGAGCAAAGTTTCCTCATTTTAACTGCAAAAGAGAATGGAAGAGGATTACTGCAATCTCCAGCCTATTTTTTCAGACTATAGGTATCGGCAGAAGGGACTCAGAAACTGTGACGTGCTTTACCGCATAACCTCCTGCCTTCATCGCACATGTAACCGAGGAGAAGACGCAGTAAACATCAAGACACACAGAGAAAGTGGTCAAAAGGAAAGTAAACAGCGGATCAGGACTATTTTAGACTATGTCACTCTGACTATGATTATAATATCGAAATAAATTCAACGATTTGATAGTAACTTCCAAGCTCAGATTGCAAGTGGTCGATTTGGTCTCCGGAGATCCACTCATCCACAGCTCTTGTCATCGATATTGGGAAAGTCATTTTTTAGCCTTTGAAATAAACAACAACATTTTCGATTAAAACTCCCAAGGCCATCACCAATTATGCTTACTGACTTGGAAAATTCGTCAACCTCAAGCAGACCTTCTGTCCAGATTTAGGAGAGAAGCCGAAAAGGCACAAGACAAAGTGGGGGACAGAGGCTACACCCTAAGTTTGCATACACATATACACACACGCATAGACACACGGACGCACTTTGGAGGAGGATTGGGGAAAAAGGTGGTCGCCGATACTGTAGCATAGGCCGAGACGACTGCAGAAGCAGCGGTATCGTGACAGAGGGCGGAAATGCCAGATCGCCGACGCTAGTCAAAAAAGCACCGCTTACCGGCAGAAGCAGTAGTAACGACAACAACAAGGCGGAGTCAGGCAAAGCACCAATGCTGGCAGCAGCACTGTCCGTGTTCGTGTCAATAGTAGCTCAGTAGCTTTAAATCAAAAGAATCTGCATATTTTTGGGTTTATTCAAAATGTCGTCAAGTGTCTGCGTGTGTACAGGCTCTATTTGTAAAGACGCAAAAAATAGTGAAAAAGAGATACTTGTCGGGCTAAGCCAATCCTAAGTATTTATCAAAGGGGAAGGATAAGAATACTTTGAGAAGTGGAGTGCACGCGCGAATGCTACTGAAATTAAACTAGTCTTCCCATAACTTTACCGCGAGCATTTGTTTCTGCAATTTAATATTCCTGATGGCTGCGGATGCTAGTGTAGCCTTAGTTTGTGCAAATGTTAGAGAATCCCAGTCTTTATTTTAGACTTCAGAATTTGTAAGTAGGTACGATTGCTATTTGCTACCAAAACTTTTCAAATGGAATTGCCTAGAGTCAATTGGAAATCGCTTTAATTGAGAATAATGCTTTAGCGCTCCAGTCGCCACAAATTATCCCCTCCTTTAAATCTTTTTATGCGACCTAATTAAGGTCTGCAGACTGAAACTCAGATTAATCTCTAACGCCAGACGACAAAAGTAAGTTAAATGAAAATTTTGGCTTTAATTAATTGGTTTCTAATTCCTTTTAGAGATTTAGGGAGTAAACCTGGCATGGCGAAACCTCATTGGTTGTCTTGAGGTCACCACAATAATGCGATTTTTTAATACGCACTCTACATAATCCTGTTGAAAAGTTACTTATTGCTAGATAAGGTTGAAAATTTATCGGTGCAAAAGGGTAGGAGTCAAGAAAGGGAAAATTTCTTACCAGCTTGTCATAATTTTATGCATGAATAGGCAAGTCGTTGAACACACTTTCCCATCATGTCAACAGCAAGCCATCCGTATAGGCGGAAAGGAGAAATGTCAATTTGCGATTTCGAAGTGGATGTAAATGCCACCTTCTCATGGGGTCTCTCGTTTGTCTCTCCCGCTGAAGGCAAATTCGGGCCCTCTTATTGCATAGGCGGATTAGCGCATTTAGAATAAGCCATCACAAAGGCGCAAAAGGAAGTGATTTGGCCAGTTTGCACTGTCAGTAAGTAAATGTAGCGTGAGATTTCCAAGAGCACGTAGTTATAGTATTTGACCCGTCTAAGTGACCAAATTGGCTCTTCATCCTTCACAAAAAGACCGACGTTTTGCTTCACCTTCAGTGTAAAAATGTCCTTCTTTTCTGAGAAGGGTTAAACAGTTACTATCATTTTTGCCTCTCAACACTGCCTAACTTTGAGCCGTATTGGAATCACGTCTTCGCAAAAAAGCAGCAAGGAATAGTAAGTCGGTTCAAAGAAACTAGACTCCTTTCTCCATTGGGGCAAGAAACAGTCTTCTCTTCATATATCCCTCAAAGCGCGTTCACATTCGATGGGGTGGATGGAGGACATCGACCGCCTTTCACTTTTACTGACTTGCTCAAAGGCGATTTCGCGATGGTGGCAACACTTAATTCAAAGGCATTGAAGGAATTTAAGGACTGTGGAATAGGTCAACAGATGTGAAGACGCTTGTTTTTGCAGATCGACACAAAAGCTGCATTACTCGCAAGTCCACTTCCAGTCTTCTAGTTCCAAAAGACCAAGCAAAGCGATCCTCAACCACGGTACAAACGGAGCCTGCCATTCAAAACTGCCCTAGCAGCATGTCACAGGTGGACTCTGTGGTTGCTATGGTACTACCAGTACCCACAATGAGTCATTCCATTAAGGACTACCATGCAACTGTTCCCTTTACCTCCTTTTCTTCCATCCCTCCTGTTTCGTATGCTTCACGGTTGCCATGGTTGCTAAGGCAATAAATTGGTCAAGTTTTCAGGCAATTGTGAAGGCCTTGTTATTGGCCTCCTTTTTTGTGGTCATGCGATGCATGGTCAAGCATCATTTTCATTAAGTGCTTAGACATGGCCAGACAGACATTTTGACAGATAGGCAAACGATTACCGACCATGACAAAGTTAAGGTGCAATAAATGGCGCTGGGATTTGTCCCTTTCTAGGACTGTCGGTGTGGCAATGCTTCTGAATGCTTGAAGTTATTCTCCTCCTGCAAATTCCTCTCGTCTTAAAATTGAAAAAAATTTACAAGTTCTGATGGCGGCAAAAGGTCGAACACCTCTATTCCTTCTAGGAAGTTTTTTCCCACCAAATGCATTCCTCGTTGAGTGTAATTAAAGTGCTGAGTCCAAAGACATCGCTACGGAGAGCTTGTTCATTTAATTTGCGTGTGATCGACAGCAGACGCATCCGCTTCAGGGGGAATGTCCGCTTTTAAAGGCGTATTCGCTTTAACGCAGCAAGTGAGATCTGAACCTTTCCCTTCTTGAGTTAAAAAATAAACCATGAGGACGTATGCATTTCATCTGCAGTGGTTTGGAGATGCCACCTATTCACACTTCTCGCCTCGATTCTCTTCGCATATAGGTGAAAGCCACGACCTTTTCCCTATAGACATTAGACAAGTGGAATAAAGTTGAATAACTAGCGCCTCTACCCCCTAGTGGGTGGTTTCAACCTTTCAGCAGGTTTCATGATCTTCAAGTAGATAAGACATTACTTTTGTCTTTCACCTTTTCTGACGCTCAAATTCGCAGCGGTACACATGGATGTACTGAACCACTTTCCACAATAAAAGGTAATTTAATGACTATGGGAGGTGTACGACAAGGAGATGAATGGTGGCATGTTAAAAGATTAGATGTTGCAGTTGATCAGAATGAGAAAATCATTGCAGGGATATGAAGGTGGAGAGAGGAACTTGAACACGAAAGACCATATGCAGTGTTTGTCCATCCGTCTGTCTGCCCATCAGCTGCGCCTAACAAACCGAACGAACATCCACGGGGCAAGATTAAAGATGTTAATGCAAATAACAAACATCCATAAAAAGGAAGAAGGAGGGCGAGAAGGGAGAATAACCCTGTTCATCCAGAAAGGAAATAAAGAGCGACCGTTTTATCTACAAGACTGCATGTCGACTCGATCCACCTGGTTGCGACTTTTGCTTTCGATGATGGTGGCGGTGAAGGTGGTTGGCGTTCACTTCCCACCATCCCACCCCATGAGCTGATGAACCCGGATTGGAGTCTCCGTTCACGGTATCCGGAGGAGTATTAGGCGGTGGTCGTGGGCCCACACCGGATCCAGATCCAACGCTGTTATTGGTAGTTGTAGCCGAGCTGTAATATCCCGACGCTTGATTAGGTGATGCCAGAGCAAGGCCTGCCGATTGCTGAACAAAGAACTGGTCGGCCGCGTCAACACCAGGTCCAGCTGGAGGCCTGACGGTGTAGGGACAGCGTTCCAAAGCATCACCAGACGACTTTGTCGTGGAACAGCAATGCTGATACACTGCGTATGGATGAAGGACTGTCGAAGTATTGCTTGGGGTATTCTTACTTGATACTGGATGACTCTGCTGTGGAGATACACCTGACTGTTGCTGTTGTTGTTGCTGCTGTACTTGTGATGTTTTCACCGGAGCTCCACCAAAGCAGCATCGTCCGGCACATCGGCTTTCCAATTGACGACCCAAATGACGCCACGGTTCAATCCCCTTCACAGATAACATCCACAAGCAAGTGGCAAATCCGGTAACCAGTGACATAAATGTTCGGAGGAGGAACAGCTCAGGTGTGATCTCCTGTCCGTCTTCCAAATCCGAGGATGTTGAACTTGCGGCCTTGATGATTCGGGAAATTGCGCTCATAGGATCTCCAGCCAACCATTTATCTCGATTGAGGTATTCGTAAAAATCGCAAGCGAGAACAGTAACGGCTGGAATGATGTAGAGTAGGCTGAAGAACCCCAACCTGGTGCTAAGACTATCCCATCGTAGATTGTGACAGCAGCAATAGCAAGGAGACGGCCTGGCACGCCCTGCCATTCCAGGTTCTCGGCTGTCCACAACTGTGTTGTCAAACTCAGACTGTTGATCTGAGTGGTAGACAAGGTAGCGTGACTGTGTGTCCAGATTGGTGAGTGTTGCACTGGGAGCTAAGTGGCGTTGCTTGAAGGAGCGTCTAATTTGGAAGAGTTGAATAATGCACCATACAAAAGCGAGAACACCGACACTGATGAAGAGGATTTGTGGAATTAGCACAAATATCAACATGGCTTTTGTATTCTGGCGTCCCACGCTGCAGATGCCCAACAGTTCATCTGCATCAACCTAGGCGAGGAAGAAAACACAAGTGCAGAGGCGGACACAAAGTGTGTGGCACATGGCTTGACATGTGAAAAATGTTGCACTTTTCGTCGATTCTCGAGATTGCTGCTATGGAGTGTTCGGTGAGAATGGCAAAACCCGTGGAGGTAACACCAAATTTTCCCACCTGCCCACCCTTTCTGATCGTGGCACAGAAGGCTGAAACGTCAATAGGACTCTAAGGGTAGCGATACACCCAAAACCCGGAAAAGTCATCCCATTTGATGGGCTTGGCCTTTCGGCATAGGACCTCATGAATGGCAATTAATTCACTAAATACGCAAGAGGGAGAATATGTCTCAGTCACTAATAGCGGTTTAAAAGATTAATACCTAACCGCAAATGTACGATTATTTTGTTGTAATGACCGGCAGAAATGCAAGAGTAGAGTAGGAGAAGCGATCCCCTCCCTACCTAAAAAGTGCTTCTGGATTGGAATCAAGGCGATGGGGCCAACCTTTGTTCCTCATTGCTAAAACAAAATCAACAATAACCTTATCAGTGCTTTCATGCGTTATCTTTTCTAAAAACCGCTGCTATCCCCCTCCTCTCAACCTTTTTTGTAGGCTGTTACAGACTAACTTAGATGGCGCCATATTTACCCACTTGTCAGCCTCCTTTATCATCAGACTACCCTAGTTGCTATCACAGACCTCTTGACTAAGGGGAGCGAAATCGACCTCCCTCACCTCACCCGTCATCAATACACCTCGAAATGCCTGAAACTACAATATGGCGCCCGATGGTTTGGGACCAGAAGGTTATCGCAGAGAGCAACTCAATGCGAGGGGCCACACGCGCTTATTGGCATTCACAGAGTTGCCAAAGCCCTGCACTAGGTGCTGAACATTTTGTTCTAATCAGCTAAAAAGCTTAGTTGACAGACTAATCAAGTTTTATAGAGGGGACGGCAATGGGTGTGACTGGTTTGAATTATGGAAGAATTGGAAAGGAAAAAGACAGATAAGTGGATGGGACTGAGAAGAGGAGATAAAATAATAAATGATGACTTTCGAAAAGATTGATAGGGAAAATAATTTGAAATGCTTGAATGGGTGGAATACTGATGCATAAGACTTGATAAGAGAGGGATTATGTTGGGGGGAATTTTGAAGTTGGAATGTTAAAACTCACTTCTTCCTGCTAGTATCGTCTTATTAAAACATTTTAGCAGTTGGTCACGTCTTGGTAGTCAGTCCCGTACCATTTTACCTCATTTTTACATTATCACTCAGCAACGGCACAATGACTGAGACTAAACCCCTATTGGCTTAGCTGTGAGCGCGCACCTTTCAAATTTGTGTGTCGTGTAGATGTCAATCAGACCCATTTTTAGGTTTATTTACGCAGTCGAAAATGGGGTCTGGGGTCGAGTCCGTGATTATTTATGTGCACGAGCGTGCGTTTTCACGCATTATTCCTCGGTATTACCACTTCTAACCTCACCAAAACTAACGCCGGTGCTACCTATATGTCAATCAGTCATCCGCATTTCCCTCATCTAGTGTTAAATTGTAAATAAAAGGTTCAAATTATGCATATACACACCTCTTCCAACATTTTAGATCTTCGAACGTCCTAGTTATTTCGCAGATAAGTGGCCAAGCCCCCTTTCAGGCTTTCACTCGCTTCCTTGACTTCTTCAGGCAATGTGGCAGACCTTTCGGATATTTCATCAGCATTCACTTATCGCGAATTCTCTAATGTCAAAAAATGTCAGAAACATCAGCCTATTTAGTACATATATGGCATTTTTGGCCTAATTAATGAGAATTTCCCCAGATCTCCCAATATCTACGAATGGCTTCTAGCCAGAAATGCCAAATATCTGTCAAACTCTGAACTGAGGAAGCACCACTGACCTTCCTTCTCTGCATACCATTGGTGGCGAGAAAATTACCAAAATCACTCATGATTGCGCGACTCCTCATCTTCCCTTGTCTTAACCCTTTTAGGGATGCCTCGACTTAAACGTTATCAGAGGAGGGAGAAAACGATTGACCACGTTCATTTCAACTGAATTACTATTTTGAAAAAAATTAAAGTGTCTTTTTAAGCCTCGGAGCTCAATCCAATTGAAGTGACAAAAGTCTTAGACGATTCGGTTCCCTTCAACCAATGCTATAAACAACTTTTGCTTTACCATGAAATAGACTTCTGCATCTGAGCGAAAAGGCCACTTTTAGTCATGCAGACCCTGCATACGCAAGTTTAGCGACGAGTAGGCACTGCCCCAACTATATTCGATTATTCTTCATCCGTCCGACGTGCATCTGCATGTGCGATGACATCTTTTTTGTCCTGTCTACGGCCTGCAAAGGCTCCCAGATAGGCCCACCAAACCACCACATTCTGTAATGAGTCATTGAGAGGAGGAGGAAAGAGGGCGGGAGAGCGGAATAGGGAGCACATGAATCCCTCAGACTTCCATACGCATGAACATTAGGTTATTCCTACTTAAAAATGGGAAGCAAAATAGCCCCGCCCCAAAGCGAAGAAGCTTTTCCAGCTTCTCTAAAGCCGGATGAAGTCTGTCTGCTGAATGACCGCCCATGCGTTCCCGTTAGTGTTACAAGATTGGTGGTATGGAAGGTTATATTCAACTCAAAGATCTACTCCCATCAAATAACAACTCCGATGCGTTGACGTTCATGCAAAAACAAAAATCCTCCTATCCTCACATCTATCACCTTAATGTAGGCGTGCACGACACGTGTTACATAGATGTGAAGCGGGGACCTAGGCAAAGAAATCAAGCTGTTGTTGCAACTACGAAAAATGGAGGGTGGACGCTCAAGCACCCTCCGAATCCATTTGGGACATTCAGTTAGCCCTTATTCATTGCCGATCGGCCACACTTCAAATGTTTGCAATGCTAACTCAATAGAATCTGAAAGCTTTTAGTGAGAAATTCTTACCATTGTATGGCAGTGGGTGAGGCGTTAAAATCAACTCACCTGGCGGCTGACGAGGACGCCAACTGTCAAAAGACCAGGAGCCAACCACGCGATGACATGTTCCTTTGCCAGACAATTATTATCGGCGCTGGTGCTGTTGACTCCCCGTCTATTTAAATGGGCGAATCGTAGGGTTGACCCAAACCGTTGTTGCTTATCAGTGAAGTTTTCCACCTCTCCCATGGGGGCCCCATGTCTGGTGAGTCCTTCTCGATGCCAACCGCAGCATCCGCCCTTTAAGAGGGCTCCCTCATCCCTCCTGCCACAAACCAATCGCCGATGGAGAGTTGACCTTGATGCCCAACCAATCACCATCATGGCCCACCAAAGTGTTCCAGCTGTGAAAAAGTAGTATTGGATAAGGAAGACTAGAGCGCAATTCGAATTATCGAGACCCTCCTGTAGACGAATCGCAAATCCTGAAGCCGGATCTTTGCCACACGTCACAGCTTTGCGACCTAATTTGAGCCGCAATGCAAAACCTAGAGCGTAGGCCAACTGACATCCAGCGATGTAAATGACTGGACGCTCCAAAATATGGAATAGGGAAGGTTGAATTGCAAAACTCAGAAGGGTTCCAGTAGTTGCAATTAAACAGAGGCCAGAAATCACACTTGTCCATACTGTTGATAAAGTCTTTGCACTAGGAGAGAAGAGTATGTCTGCAGTGCAGTGCGGAGCGCATCTTCCGGTCCGATTGATAAACACGTAGGAGGTAGGTTTCGATAAATGTGAGCAGTATCGTAGAGAAGAAAGGAGGAGAGCAATTGGAGTCTCCTCATTCTCAATTTCAATTGGGAGTGGACTTTCATGAAGACGAGCCAACCAAGTTTGAAGATGAGAACCCAACCTGGTAATTCCATTGCTTCCTCCTCCCCCTCCCCCTCCACCTCCAACAGCGCCCATACTGTCTGGAAGTTCTTCAAGCTGACGAAGTAAACCTTCTGTTGATTGTTCAACTCTTTTCCCGGATGCTTCCTGTCCCATGGAGGATTGCTTAGCTTCATCAATAACTTCAAGTGAAACTCTTCCACCTTTCCCAGCATCCAACTCTTCAGTTCTACCGGAAGATGGTTCTTCGAAGTCCTCTGGGATATCTGGACCTTTCATACACATCACTCCCCCAACAGTGTTCTTTTCTGGAAATCGAGAACAGTTCAGATTTGCTGGCCAGTCAAAATTGAAGATTTTCAACACTGGAGAACACCGTTTTCGAACTCTTTCACAAAGCGGCCTACAGGGTCCAATCAAATGGTTAGTGTTCACGTCACACATCGGTGCATAGACAGAACAGAGAAAGAAGGCCAAGTGATTTGAACACTTGTAGGTGATTAGTGGCTTAAAAGTTTGTAACTGATGGCGCGCATCCAGCTGACTTTCCTGGCCCACCAGGTTGGGAAAGGCGGTAAAGTTGTAGAAGAGGTTTTTGCACTCCGGGATTTCTATCCGTGTCGGTCGAAAACACCGTCGTTGACCGACAGGTCCATAGGTGTCTGGAGAAGCGTAGAGATTGGGACCCTGACCTTCAGTGATATGAGGAGGGACAAGAAGAAGGAGTAGGAGAGCAAGAACACTTGAAGAGGTCATTCTTTTTGCCGCTGAGAATCAGCGTGGAGGCATGGTTCTTGCAACTGCGTCCTATCAGGAATGCACCAACCCTCAGAGTCCAATTATACCAAAGAGACAGACTATTGGGTAGCACAGTTGACCAATCAGAATCAGGCCAATCAGTCTTTAGGTTTACAACAGGCCAGCCTCTGGTGTGCCCATGCTTCCGGTTTTCAGGTGACCAGTAGATGCCACCAAACTAACAATTCGTTTTTTCACTAACTGACAATAGCACTCTTCTCCTTTTTCATCTAAAAAGGTACCATTTTTCCCTGCTAATTTAAATTCCCATCCAAGATGTTAACAAACTGTAAGAAAAGGGAAATATTGTTTTTCCCGTAGACAAAAAAGGGTTTAGCAGTCAATATTTTAAAGACACTTGAAGATGTCGCGAAGTTATTAGTAATAAATCTTGTGATTATCATTTTTAAATCTGGTAGCTTTAGAACAAAGGAATGCATTGAAAAGGTCTACGACTAACTCCAAAATGAAAACTTCCACCTCCTCCCTTGGAGGTGTGAATTAAGGAAAGATGCTCTGTACCATTTATTCTACCTGCTATATTAGTGGACTTAATGGAATAATCCGAGATTGTACTAAATTTTTCCACTGCTTTCACCAAAAGTAGAGCTAGGGTTAGCTAAAACGCAAACTAACATTCTTCACTCTTATCACCACTGGAGGGAGATTTATTATGCATGCACAAAAAGGCGAAGAGAGGAGAGGATAGGAAGAGTTTGGAGGTGAGCCTACTGACAATGCTGAATGTAGACCCAGAGGTACTGATCGCACACCGTCTTAAAAATTCCTTTATAAAGTGCATCGATTTGCCTATGGAGGAGAGTGTGGGCACTTAAGAGGTGAGTTGCTTTCTCCAGAACCACACCAATTTTGATGATTTATACCCTCTGCTTCACTGGGTATTTGACAGTTATACTTCTAGTATGAGTGACTAAGGCAGGTTGCTTGACACTTTCCTGTAATTAATTCCTCATGGCTTACCTCATTGCCGTGCTTTGCATAGACAGTTTGTGCAAAGTTAACCTTTTCTTTGGATTCACCCCACAAACTGCCTATATTTGCAGTTTGTTAAAATAAAAGTCCCTTTAATGGAGTTACCCAAGTTAGGCGCCACTTTTGATTTGAAGGACTCCACACCTTTTAAAGTGGTCCTTTTAGAGCCTGATGATCTAAAACGATACGTTGGCTTTCATCACCTCTTCGCCAATCTGCGTGATATTCGAATACTTTTGTTGGGGTGCATAAGGCGAGTCGATACTGACTGTTGCGCCGTTAACCTCGGCGTCTACTCCGTCGGTGAAGTTGATTGCGTCAGTCACGCACTTTAAGTAAGGTAAAGTACGACTGGGCAGACGAATTCCAATACAGTGTAGATACAAAAAAGTCGCGGAGGGCTAAGAGTTCTTTGAGGTGGCTGACTATGGATAGAAAGAGCAAACAGAAGGACAGACAGGGCGCGGGAGAGCCGGGAAAAGAGGGAGGCGGAGGTAGATTAGATAAATGGGTCTTAGTCACTCAGACTTTCAGCTGAAATGGGTCGAAAATAGAGTTAAGGGGAAGAAGGGAGACAGGTTTAGCTAAATGTTTTGTCTATGTTTGAAGAAAAACGCCGATCAATGCGCAGTGACAATCCTGTGCCTACTAAGTGGTTAAATGGAGCGTAAGAGTAAAGAATATTTAAAATATGTGAAGTTAGCTTGCTGGCAGAAGCAGTACCGTTGTTTGAGCTTACTCAGGATTCACAATATTGGCCATTTGATTAAACAAAGGGGCAAAACGAGGGTTGAGACAGGGCAATAGTGAATAGGAAGCTTTATGAGTACTGACAGAGTCCGAAGCTCTACTTCTGCTATTGGCCACCGTCTCGGTGCTGCCGGTCACATCGGGCAAAAATTTGTCAAAAGCGTGAGTATTCTTTGTGAAACCAGAAGAAGAGGGCACCGAAGAACAATCAAGAGAGCCCACTGAAAACTGCTGGTGGATATATGAAAGTTTATCAGTCTTAAAGTTGCCTCTGGGGCAGAACGACTAGTCATTGGAATCGAGGACTGTGCCCCATTTGACAAAGTGGAGCCCTCCTTGAAGTGTAAGCTGGAAGAACTAAATTAAATGGAATAAATTAGCAACTCTCGTGATCCACTGCCACGGTAATCCTAAGAGGTTTCTTGCACACTTTTGTAAAAAGAGACCAGAAAACAATTGAGCAGCTTAAGGTGGTCAAGAAAGGTAAACGGTTGCCTGGTATGCATTCAGGAGCTGTGAAAGTTGCGCCTCACTCATCTCCTCATTGTTAATTATACAGCCCAAGCAATGAACCACTAACTCCCCCCCCCACTTTCTCCGGTTAGCAGGTGAAAAGAAACTCCAATCCACCGCCTCCTCCCTCCTCTCCCCCTAAAGCATTACTGAATAGTACACCGAAAATGTTGGCAGTCGAAAGTAAGGCGAAATTAAGTCTTAAAACAAATGATGGAAAGACTATTTTTAAATGCGTGTCTTGATCCATTTTAGATGGACATGGCAAAAACTTCTCAATCTAGCCACCAGTATGAGCTCACCTTCGGGGAGAGGTGTTCTCAGTGGAAAGGGCACATTTTAACAAGCATTAATGATTTATCGCAATGACAATTGTTCTCCCTTCCAAAAATGACGGTGGAATAAGTTTATGAGAATATTAGATGGAGTCCCTTAAGTTTTAGCCTTAAAACATCACTAAGAAGCTCCAACTACGTCCAATTGTTCCATCAGAAATGGTCTCTGAGGGAGGTCATGTCAAGTGTCGGTTGTAAGGGGCTTCTTTGACGTCAGCTGTTGGTGGAACTGAGAAGTCGTGGCTGTGGATGAAGCACACTGTCAAGGGGACCGAAACCCTCAAATTGGGCCAGTCAGATAACACATACAACTCGTTGAAAGTTACCCTCTCACCTTTCGCCACGATCACTTGCTGGCGGAGGTTAAAACCATCCTCTTGTAAATGTGATTGCCATTTCGGTGCAGTTACCTCAGTGATTGTGTCGTCTTTGCAGAGGGAACTGATGCCACTGAAATTCACTTTGTTCTCCCTCCTCTTCTGTTTGCTTGCCAATGTGACAATTTGTTTGTTCACACGTCACATGATTCGCTAAAATGCTATGGCAGACGAATCAAGAAGACTGTACTTCCCCAAGTCAGGTGTCGTGTGACCCACTACCGAACGGGACTATAGCTTGTCATCGTGAATGGTAACAATTCATAATCAGCAGCACGGCGTCTGAGACTCTTTCCCGTTGCCATCACTGTGGCAGTCCAGTTCCACCTCAAGAGATAACAAGCCACACCACGAAGAATAGCCGAGCACTGCTATTTGTGAAAGACAACTGCCGGTCCAGAGATAGGGTCGGAGGTTCAGCGAAAACTTAAATGTGCTCTCACTTGAAATGATTTCCTAAATTCCAAATTCTGATGTCCTCTTTAAAGTTCTGGTGACTTACAACCTGGTGGAAGCCTGACAACTCTGAGACAACTGTTTCATCTCTATCATACAGGCTTGACTAGCAAGGTGGAACTAACCACGAGCGTCGACCAAAGACGCATCCATGAATTCTCATCGTTTGGAGAAAGATGAGCAGCAGTAGTGATAATGGATGACGATAGACATATGACCTCGATTTCACTTCGTCAATGTTCGCAAATCCCGAGAAAACCTTCTCGCCTAAATGATCACAAAAAACTTCTTTTCAGACGTTTGGCTATTTTTTCCGATCGTCTCTTCACCGATGTGATGAGGATGCGTAGTTGAGGGGCATGGCCACCAGTACTACCAAAAATCGCGCAGGAATGCAACCACTGCCAGCACTCAGCACCTCGGGCAATGGACTTGCGTCCCCCAATTTTCCTTGTTTAAAGTGTCTACATAAAAAAACCTCGTCTTCCTTTACGTATCCTTTCTCGATGTCACTCGATAGAATTTTAATAGTGTTCCCATAGACGTAAACAATAAGTGACACTCAATAAAAGTTGAGTGCCTATTCTCTTGCTCGGGGTTGGAGTGAAGAGGACATTTGGGTCATAATGCTAAAGCGTCGACGATGGTTTGCAGATCCTGCAACTTCTCTGTGGTCACAAAAGTAGGTGCGAATCTCCTGTGACCAAGCCGCAAGTCAAAAATTTTTCGGTCAGTTTTGCGTAGAACTTGAAAGTGAATTATAGTTTCTTTGGAAAGCCTTCGTGCGATCATCTATTCACAAACAGCCGCTTACCTCCTCACCATCCACCATGTAGCCATTCGTTCATTCTTCTCCTGCTGAATAATTTTTAACCTTTACAGCGTGATAAATTAGCTGTCTTAAATTGTCCAAGATGCTTTATAAATCTTCATCAACCTAATTTTGCCCGTCTGTATATCCCCTTTTTATGAATGAAAGGACAAAGTTAATTATTTTTTCATACCACGAAAGTGGAGGTCAAAATTGAGGTGCAGTATGAACGAAATTGTAAAAGCGTTCCCCTGCCTCAGTCTAATCCTCGTGAGAAGAGCGAACGTCTAAACTAAACACACCAGAATAAGCCTGTGGCCGGTCTTAACTATGAGAACAAGAGTGGACAGGTGTGAACGTGTGAATGTCTACCACGTCGCAAATTGGCAGATGTGCTGACAGATGGGGGCGGGGCTTAAGTGGGTGGGGAATGTGGAGACAGTGGATGGTTTGTTTACCATCCTGCATGCTGTGATAAGCTCCATCAATCAAAAGTCAGTTTAAGCGACTGTTCTGGTGATGGTTAAGTGGGGAATGGGTGCAAGTATACATAAACACGCTTTTGACAAGAAGTTGAACTACTTATTTTCCAATTAAGTAGCGATGAGGCGCTCAATTTACTTCCAACAAGTGCCTTTAATTCTTCAAAAAAAATTATTATTATGTACAGCATTTAAAAAAAACTTTTTTTGTTCGTTTCCCACGTTGAACCTACAAAGTTGG